GGCTTGGGGAAGCTCACAGGTGCCCTCTTCTCCTTACACACTCAGTGTTTTCACTGATGGCTGAAATGCCATGCAAAAACAAAGGAAAGAAGCAAAGATGACTTCTTTTGAGCTTAAAAAGAAGCTTCTTCCAGTTTCAGGTAACTACACCCTTTGGTTTGTACTGATGCAAACTAGTCAGAGTAGCCATGCTGTTTCTGCAATAACCACAGCGAATTTGGGTCAAGACCTTCTAGGCAGCTCTGGCCCAAGGCCCATCATCTCTGCAGCACCAAGCACACCTTATACTTGCTGGGATCTTTCCCCCTCTCTTGTTTCCAGAGCCTTTCACATGCAGCTTGCCCAGAGCAGCCAGCCTGCAGCAGGCAGACCTGCATCCTACAGCAATAGCCCCAGCACTCCAGCAGCAGCAGTAGCTGCCCTCCAAATAACCCAACCAAGCAAAACAGAAACTGCCTGATATAGAAGTATCAGGAAAAAACCCGGCATAACCCCCTTCCCTTCCTCAGCAAAGGATCCTTGTGTCTGAATCCCATCTCGCTGGGATGCATAACTACTCCCTCAGAGAGGAGGAAGTTTCTCAAATGCTCCACTTGCTGTCTTTTTTAATTTCACTGCCCCATGCCCTGGGTATCTTTTTCCTCTCACAGTTCAAGTATGTGGAGATAAAAAAATCTAAGTATCTCAGTGTGGGGCCTCTGACACCTAAGCTGGAAGAAGGGGACTCTGGGAATGTCCAAAACTCCTTATCCTATCAGCTCCAGTGAGACTCTGAGTGATAATTTCTTCTATGGTTTGCTCTCTGCAACCTTTTTACACTTCCATTTCACATTTCAGTCCTTTTCCCTGTCTTTCTTCTAGGTCTGTCCCAAGGGACACCCACTCCTACACTAAAAACCATGACATAGACAAGATGGAAAGTCTTTGGAAAGTACCAGAAAGCTACAAGAGTCAGCAAAGACTCTGGCAACAGCCTTGCAGTCAGAATGAACGCTGAACATAGGAGAGTGCTGCTCTTGGGAACATTCCCAGACCTTCAGCCTGCGTGAATAAACCAGCAATGAACAGAGGCAGGAAGAGAGCAGGAGATGCACTACTGCCTCAGCACCAGCTCCTTTAACAGATCTGTGTCCTGCCAGCTGCAGCAGAGTCCAACCCTCCCTTTTTTTGAATTCCTCAGAATATCTCAGAGATCAGGAGAAAAAAATCTGAGTGATCCCAAGGGGACAATCCCTTCATCCTCTGCCAGCAGCTCACACCCCGTCACCAGGCAGCTTCCCTGTTCCAAAACAGAAGCAAAGAGAAGAAAAATCTGTATTGCCATCATCACTGCTGTAACCTCGCAGAACAAGGTCAGTGCACTCTGAGCCAAGCAACAGAGGAGAAGAGGTAAATCTACCTCTCCAGTCACCTGGAAGAGCCTTCCCCAGAATAAGACATCGAAGAGTTGCATAGGGATAATCACACAGTATTTCTGAGCCATAAAGTTCTCAGGCCTCACATCAGGAAGAATCAGAAGTTGTAACCAACAACATATACTCTCCCTCATCTTTTTCTCACTATATGTACACCCCGCAGTATCCTGCAATTCTCTTTACCTCCTGCTGATGCACCCACTGTCCTAATGGAGGAAGCAGAGCATGGACTGACTGCAATTTTATTGAACAGAGAAGGTAAACACAGCCTTGCAAATAACTCACCCCTCATTAAAATGCTCGGACATGGCAGCTGGCCCATCCTGCTGATATACAATCCCTCTGTAGTGCTTCATTACCACCCCCGAATTTCTCAAAGCCATTCTGCCACACACATACACACAAGCTCTCCAGAGGAGCTACTAGAAATAGATTCTGGGGTGTAAAAGTTACCACCAAAGAATAAACTCTTTGATCAGTTGTGGAATGCGAAGTAAGAGGTGGAATGCAAAAGCCATTATACCACCTCCTTTCCTCGGAATCCAGGGACTCTAAAGATAAAAAAAGTCAAACCAAAATGGACAATCCTCAGACAATAAAGTGCAGGAGAAATTGAGTGAGTTGGGGCAGTCTCTGCACACTTGGCATCTCCATCCAGATGGTGGGTCTCCTGTGTCTGCCTGGGGAGTTACAGAGCTCCACCCTTCTGACAAGGAGTTGAACTAGCAGGTAAAGCAGCAAAAGAACTGGCATCCCAGATATTCACGCCCACCTCATTTCCTGCACGAGGATTGTCCTCTGCAAGGAGAGAGGAGGGTTCTATCTCCTGGATCTGCAGAAGAGGCGGATCCTGCCCTTCGCCTCTCCATTTAGGCTTCCACTGTCCCACTGATGTCTGCCACCTTCCTGCTCCTCAAAGACCTTTTTCCCTCACTGCATTCATCAATTACTTTAAACCTTTCTTAAACCTTTTTTGTCTGGACTATAAACTACTGAAGTCAAGGCCTGCCTCCTTCCATTCACATTTAGGCTAGAGCCCTAATCACAGCTGCGGTCTGCTGGCAGTGCAGGGGGCATTCACATGTACAGCTGGGGTTATTACAGCGGAAAGCAGGCCTATCCCACCAGGGAAAAGACACTCGTGGTGCAAGCTCAGAGTGCTATGAACAGACACACACGTGCACCGAGGACTCAATTCTTCAGTGTGCTGAGCTTTCTGGACCTAAGCCACCAACACATGCAAGTAGGAATTTAACTACAGGATACTGGTGGGCTTGTACAGCCATAACACTGCCTCTCCCTGTTCTCTTCAGCCAAGCTGATGAGTTGGAGCAGATTCAGATACTTCTATATATGTGCTACATCTCCAACTTATGTAGAAGAGGCCCTACATTTGTTTCACTGGAGTCATTGGATGAAAGCTAATCATACAGCTTAAGCGCTCTGCTGAGCCAAAGGTAAAGCATTCAGAAACTTGCAAAAGCGATACTGAGACATACAGAATTTCTGCAGGAAGGAAAGAGTTGACTTCTCTGTTATTGGACTACTGGGACAAACAAGAGAGCCAAATTTTCTACTCTCAACATTTTTATACGATAGCAACCTTCCTACTATGGTTATTTATATAGAAATGTTACAGACTGTGTGAAATTATACACTGCAGAATTTCAAAAGATGACTTAAAAAATGATGATTCTTTTTTTCCTTCTTCTATAAACATTTAGAGTAATTTCTAGGGAACTTTATTTATTTCCAAGTCAATATTTAAGGATCCCATAAGGATTGTGGTATATCCATGTGTACCTCTTGCTGCTTGATTCTTATCTGCAGCAACTAAATTTGCTTGGATTCAAATATGACCTCAAGCCTGACACACCAAGGGGGCAATGGGTATAAGAAGGCTTCCCTGGAGTGTTGCAAGCACGGAGAGAGCTTAACCACTGGTCTGGGGAGCCTGACAGTGGCGCATTATCCAAGAGTCACATCGGTTCCATTTCTGTGTTCTCCTTATCTACAGTCAGAGAGAGGAACGAGCAACTAGGAGCACCCATAGGACTGAGCAAAACAACAGCTTTTTAAGTGCACATCAGAGAGACTCCTACTCCTTAGCTTTGACCAGGGCTCCCCAGGTCTCAGGCACCTGAACAGATCTGCCATTTCCCCTCATCTCCATCAGAGATTCTCTCCCTGGCCTGAATGTGACCCCACAAGTACTGCGAGGGCACTACAAAGTGAGCAGGAGACAACGTTTCTCCCTGTTGGAAACAGGGATTGGGGACTGCAGAAAAGGACCAGCAAAGACTCCAGCTGACAGAAGCAGCTGCAAAAATGGCCATGATAAACGATGCTTTTGCTGTTCTGGGAAGCCTCCTCAGACCTGCCTGGCCTGTCTCTGCACTGTCTGTCCAACCCCTCCCTTCCTTCCCTCTGCCTCACAGATGCTTCATCTCAGCTGCATTAAACCCCAGCCTTTTTCTACCTTTCCCTTCCTACCACCATGGGATGTTCTTAGACCAAATATTGTAAGTAATGTGTCACTGGAGTTTCTCATGCCTGAAAAAAAATTAAAGAAAACTGCGGTACATTGTTTTAAAGCCCTTCCATTCACAAAGTTAGCACAATCTCAGCCAAGGACAACTTGAAGGTCATCAGAAGAGATCCAAGATAAAAGGCAGGGACTCATTCAGCTGCTGTCAAAGACTAGTGTGATTGGGCTTGCTCTTTTAGCAAGTCCTGCCTGTAGAGATTTAAACACACAGATGTAGTTTACATAAAATGATAACATCACTCTGCATTATGTTCTATTTAATAACTTTATCCCCTGCAAACCAGTTCAATGCTACAGAACAATCTGCTACTTGTTCACACAGATTTTCTGTGGATTCCACAGGATTTTCTATAGGTTTTGTAGTGAATTTATTGTCTGCAAAATGTTTTCTTTCCTCACAGAGAAGACACAGCCCTGTTAGAAGTCAAGTGAGTTTCTCTTGCGTTCTCTTGCCCATCAAGCAGAACTCATCATAAGCTGACAGGGACAATATCTGCATCTAAAAAATTAACACGTTAGCTGGCATGTGCCAGTGTCCTCAACTAGACAAGGCAAATCTCATTTTAACCCCTGTTGAAGCAAACCCTGGGAATAAATCCAGAGGTCACCTTTGCCAACAAAGACAGATTGCTGCACATACACTAAGCCTGTCAGTTAACATACTATAACTCACCTTTTTTTATTCTCCAGTGAAAGCAAGGCCTAGGAGTGACAAACCAGTGCAGAAGCCTTGTGCAGTGCAGTCTTTCACTTCCCACCTGAAACTTCTTCCAAGGACATCAGCTCTAGGGGTGAATTTATGACAGGGCACTTGTCCACTAACACTGAACTTGTCCCCACAGCCCACCTTGAGTCGCCAAACTGCCTTTTCTCCTCAAGGGCTTCACAGATCTAGAGGGTGACTCCTCCTGCCTCTCTGCTGCTGAGATCTCATACTAACCCTTTATATGATAAATAAATGCATTTTTATTCTAAGGCCTATTAATAAATAGGTGCATGCACACACATATATGAACAAGGTATGTAAATTCTCTTACCTGAGCCGTTTCTACCTTCGGGATGGTTTTGTGAAAGATATTCTCCAAAAGCCCTTGCCGCTCTGCATATCCAAGCATCACAGAAGGCAGCAAAGGAGAGAAAGAAAGAGATGGGTAATGGTTAAAGGCCAAGGAAAGAAGGAACAGGTCAATATACTGCTGTTTTCCTGCAACTGCCTTTCCCTCATCTTCAGGTGACACCAATTTAACATGCTGGCTTCCTGGTTAACACACCTCAGTTTTCTCCTGGCCAAAAGGGAAAATAGAGTTGGACTACAAGCCCAGGACAATTTTAGTCTTTAGCTTCTCTGTTAAAACTGGAAAAAAAAAAAAAACAACCCAAAACGCACCTGCATTAAACTTGGCCTTGTTTCTGTGATGCACATGGGAACTGGATCACTGTCTCTAACCACCCTGAGTTAAATCCCTTCTGGCAGCCCAGGGAAGAAGGTATCTCCACCCCAGTCCCAATCATCAATCCAGCCTTCTACTCTGGTTCTCAGTGCTCCTATCTGTGAGCTATCACAGCTTAGATGTTAATGCTAATACCCATTTCACCTACTTAGCCCTAAATTCTCAAACACCAACTATGTCAGTATTTGGGTTATTGGACAACCTTATTTGAGAGACCCCCACAAAAGCAGTTCCTGGTTCTCTGATGGATTCAGGTCCCATGTATGACTGAGATTTTACTGAAATATATTAAGAATCAACCAGGCAGGGTGAGCTCAACCCTTATCACACATCAAGGCCTACATAAGAGAGCAAACGTATGAATATTCCAACCACAGAAAAGCTTTCTGTTTTCAGCCCACACAGGAAAGGAATCCTTGGTCAAGGCATGCATTCCCTGGTATACAGTAAATACAATCTCCAGTCTCCTATTGTCCGGACATTTGTAACATCCTGCTGCTGTGCTTGTTCTCTTGTACCCAACAGACCTGTGACTGAAGAGAGCTAATACCAGCGTTTCCTCAGCCATCCATTTTCCCCAGGTTTGTAGAAGAATCTCTCCAAGGTCTGCAGCATCACAATCAGGCTGGTATTTGCCAATGGACAGTCCAGGGTGGAGGCTCATAAACAGCGAGATGAAACAGCCACCCACCTCCTTGGCAAGCCAAGCCAACAAAACCCAGCAGCCAAGCACTCTCAGTCTGCAAGCACACCAGCATTTCTTGGGGGAGGAGACAAAGACTTGCTGCAACAGGGAAGACTCTCCATACCAAAGCATCTTATCCACCGTCCTCTTCCTTCAGAGGTGCTCAACCTCAGAACATCCCTCTCCAGTTCAAGCTGCCACAAAAGGCCACACTCATAACAGCCATTAATCAGCTAAGGCTTTGACCTCCAAAACAACCTTCTGCTTTGCTACCAGATACAGCAGCATATCCCAGCCTGTGTAGCCAGGATTCTCCCCCACTGCTTTTATACACTTCCTCCCAAAAGGGAAAAGATTAACCAAGCTACAATATACCTCCCAGAGCAACTAGAGCTGGAAGGAGTGGGAAGTCCATTTGTCATCCACAGCCAGCAACAGGGGATCGATATGAACGATGAAGAAGAGTAATTTAATCTCCCTGGGACTAAATTTCAGCACAGCCAAACGCAAAATCCTTCGGAGCAGTGCAGCCGGAGCTGTGTGAGAAGCAAGGTTTAACCTTCTGCATCATTACAGGCTAACATACAGTACTGAGGTTTTTTCTGTTTCCAGATTCTTGCCTGTTTAGTACCAGGCTGTACCTTTAGACACTAGCCTGGGGTGGCAGTTGCCCAAACTGTCTTCCTCTATACCTAAGCACTCCCAGAGATGGTCATGCAGAGGCTCTGTCACATGGGGGAGCTGTACATTTAGTACACAATCCCCACTACAAAGAACAAAGGGATGACCATCATGGTTCACCCACACAGGAGGACAAGCGCTTCATGGATGCTCCTTGCATCCACTATCTTTCTCCCTGGGCAAAAAGCAGGACTTGGTCCTACGGCAACACACACATGTTAAGTTGGGAGCTAGGGTGTGGCAACTTCAGGAAAGTGGTTGAGTTACCAACTCTGGAGGTATTTAAAAGATGCGTAGATGTGGCGCTTAAGGACATGGTTTAGTGGTGGACTTGGCAGTATTAGGTTTACGGCTGGACTTGATCTTAAGGGTCTTTTCCAACCTAAATGATTCTATGATTCTAACATCAGGCTATGCAGCTGCAAGAGCACTCCTGAGCTACTCCTGCATTCCATCTTAAAGGTGGTTAAGGCTCAGCCAAAGCCACAGCTGATCTCACGTAATGCTGGCAACAGCCCCACTTTGAGCAGATGGCTGAGCTCAAGACTTCCAAGATCTCTTCCACCAAGACTTCTTATCAGTGAGAGAACATGATGATTTACACAAAATATGCTGAAATATGATGATAAAATTTAGTCTGTAACTAGTTCAAAAGCTCCAAGAGCATGTTAGTCCATCTATCATTCTGTCCATTCAGCTCTCTGCCAATGCCTGAAGCTGATCTGTCTGCCTTAAAATCTGAACCAATGCTTTAACCTTAGCTTGCAAACCACAGGCTCAAAAAATTAGTACCAAGCACGTCCTAAGACCCAAACTGCAAATGGCTAACGTGGAGCCAGAGAGAAGCACTGCCACCCTCCATCCCACCTTGTTCCACTGTGAAAATAGTGCCACTCAGAATAAAAGCCTGAGTTTAAAAGTGCTGCAGTGTCTCTAACCTCGCTCTCCTGTTTCCCCAAGCAGATGAGATAGGAGGGTAAAATCCCAAGTGCCAGGGCTCCCAGAGAACAGGCGATACCCAAACCTCTCCTCACAGGTCAGAAGCACAGTCAAGGAGGACAGAGCTACTCAAAAACATTGCTGCCCAGCCCAGGCCGAACCTGCAGTTCTGTCAGTACCATTCCACTTCCACTGCTCTCAGACACTGCAGGCCAACCTAAGAGCAAATGAACGTGGACGCTTGATCACAGTTATCTAGCAACAGCTAATAAGGCAATGATGCCTGCACAGTACAATGTGCAACGGGGGTTTTCCAGCCAATTACACTGCAAACTTCAGACTAATTTTTTTGCCTATTATCTCAGTGGTTCCCTTCTACACTCCTGCTTCTCAAGTGCCACCGGCTTCTCCTTGGCTGTGCCTCAGCTGATCTCCCGCAGATGTCTGCATGTGCCCTTTGCCAAGGGGACTCTGCTGGCCACGCTAGCTCCTTATGCCTACTCTCCCCTTGCCAAGCCTTCTGTGTTCCTTCGCTGCCCTCACTGTGCTCAGTCACCACAGTTTACCAGCATCTGCCCGTATCGTTAACGTGCCGTTTACCCCCTCTCCTTGGCTACCTAGTGACTTGATCAAAATAAAGTCAGAGCACAATTCAAACAGATGGTAGCTGCTCTATTCATCCCATTCTTTTCTATTTCTTTTATCAACACACTTGTATTAATACAAGTCACACAGTTGTACTTTTCTCTCAGCTCAGTTTTGCCTCCACTATCACAGCCAACATAGTTCAAGTCCCATCAAGCCTCCTGATGGCATTGGACAGAAAACCCTTTAACTGGGCTCAGAGCAGAGACACCTCAGGATAATTTAACTGGCAAGAGATAAAAAAGGAAACTTGTTTCACATAAATGAGATGAAGTACAAGGTGCCTTACAGATACACAGGCTGATGAGCTATAACCCTGAGTGTATGACACTGCAAAAGCTGCATACAAATGAGCAGGTAATACTGAGAGGTAATCAGCTGATGACATGACAAGTTTAGCCCTGACTCATCTAGAGAGAGGTTTTCATTTTCATAGCAGATCAGACCTGCATGTTACACGGTCAGCACAGCTTGATTTAACAAAAGCACATCAACCAGGGACCATAGCCTTGGTACACTGCACTACTGAGTCTAACCAGTAAAGACAAGACTGCCATTGCCTCAGAGAAAACACCAACATCTTCTCCGGCTTCTTCTCCATCAGAATGACTTCAAGAGTGCGGAAGGTGGGATGGGGTAGCACAACACAGGCAGCAAAGGCAGCTGCCCTTCTGAGGGCATTTTTCAGGACTCATAGATGTCAAAGCTGGACTCAGGTCTGGAAGAGAAACTGACTGAGATTTTGCAAAGAAGCACAGACAGTCTAGACATACATTTGCTAGAAGGAGGACAGCCACCAAGTAACAAAGATCTCAATTACAATGTGATGAGCATGGAATAGCCTTCATGTCTCTGAAATAATCACATCAACAGGATAAAAGGGGCCTTGATGCATACTAGCAGCTATGAGAAATTGATGTACACAAATTCATGCAATCCACCAAACTGACACTGAACTGAGTGACGGAATGTGTATTGAAACACTCAAGAGATATATGAAAGACCTGAGATAACTCCATTTAGAGCATAGCAGCAAGCTAAGCAACACTTGGACTATTCAGGAGTATTACATGGAAAAATAAAGAACACCCACCACCTTCTCGTGTTCCTTCAGAAGTAATGCTCAGAGGAGTTGCAGCAGGAATTTGTTGTGACAGCATCTGACAGTGCTGCATCTCAGGAAAACAGGAGAGAAGAGACCTCCTGCATCATCAGGACCTACGTCCTCCTACAGCAGCAATCCTGCTCTTGTCACTAAGCAGAGAGGGGAATACCACCAGCATATCCATAGTTAACAGCTCAGTCATTAAAGACTGTTGACACCTACGTTGTTTAAACCTGATAGTAACAATACTCTGACAAAAATTAGTTTTCTGAAATATCCATGTAGGGAGATGGTGGCTGGAAAATTTTAATTTTGAATTTTAAAATTTTAAATTCTCACTCTCAGGAAAGGGAAATTGGATGTTGGCAATAGATCTTAAACTCAATGACCCCATAGTTCTGGAGGAATTTACAGTCACAAAGCTTGGACAGGAGGAGAAAGGACAGGGCAGAAAGAAGTTAAAAGAAGAAGGTAATCAAAGCACAAGAGAGTTCATACCATGCACAGGAAAATTCACAAACAGAAAAAAGGAATCTAGACTCCATGAAGAACCCCAATCCAAGCCAAAAATTGCTCATGCAGTAAGAAACATG